CAATCAGAAAGCGGCTTAGTTCAGCGAACGCCAGGGTCATCTCCCCGACGACCGCCATCTTGAAACGGAGTCGGCCGAGATGGCCCTGGGGACGAGGTTGTTCAAATCCACCGGGGATTTCACGGCGACATGTCGCAGGTTTTTCGCAGCCAACATGGACATGCTCAAAATTTTAATGCAAATCGACACGATGTTCACTTGAATTTTGCATGTGAAATCACAGTGAATTTCACACTCTAAAGTAAAATTCATTGGATTTTAAATTAGCACGCCAATTAGCGCGCGAGTTTATTATGTGAAATGGGATCCTTGCTATTTTGCAAAGCTTTGCCTGCCCAAACAAAATGGCGTCAAAACAGTCACTTGATCTATTGCTAGTGTAAACCGGCCTTTGTTTCCCAGGACCATCGGCTTCGTTCTTTTCTGAACATCTTTTCTGTACGCTTAGAACCAGAATATCGAAAGTGTTTCGTTCCAGATAAAGCAAAGAATTCGGAGGATTACACAATTAACAATTGCGCATAAAGCTTTATCTTTTTGAAGCTACATATGAAAATATTTCGCACCAAATATTTCCTATATATTTTAAGCAAATCCCGCCCAACTAAAGGGAATGCTGGATCATCCAATAATCGGTTCGCTATCGTTCCGTCAGCCTGTTTGACGATGTTTTTTAGTGAAMGAATAAATAATATGCACCAGTTGATTCCCATTTATTGGTTTTATTTTACTGTTTTCCATAAATTATATGTTCAAACATTTAATATAGTTACAATATTCTAGTAGTAGGATTTGATACAAATAATCAAATCTTTTTAACAGAAAATATAAATCTTAACATTTTAATGTTTTAGCAATATGGTTTGTAGGCCTTCTCAGAATCGTCTTCAGCGCGTACGCTATCGTGTCCAATGTTATTGTTATTTTGTTCAGTTAGAAACAAATGAGACTATTTCAGCAAAGAAAGTATCAGAGAAACAAATGATAGTTTAATAAAGATTGGAAAATCATGCGCGAGGAAGTCGATAATTTAATTGGTTTATATCAGAATAATTTCCTCAGTTTTGATRGACATTGAGCCAAAATGAGAAGTTTACATGTCGTTTTTCCACAGTGAAGTGATATGCAACATAACATTCCGTGATAAACAGGACACAGTGTTTGCTTGACCAATTTTTGATTGAATAAGGAATTGAAGCAATCGTTTGCAAGATCACGTGATATAACAGCATATTTAGCAACATTGGTTGGAGTTGCTTTCCCAGGTTTGATAAACATGCAGTCAAATAAGAAGTTTCCTGTCGCATACCACRATTAACATTCGTTTTCCGAGTTTGATTGACTAAAACTATCTTCCTCAAATTGATGRATCCTTTCCACGGTCACGTGATATGTGATTTCACATGTCATCGGAGTAAACTACCGAAAAATCGAGGAGCTAAAAATACAGCTTATGGATTCAGTCTAACTACTATGCAACATCTASAATAGAAGTGTTCGTGACGCCTTTGTGCCCAGCAGCACAAAAAGTTACTGTTTGACTGTCGGTGACGTAATCCGGTGACGTGGCAAGTCCCAAGCTCTACCATATAGTACTATATACACAAATTGTCATAACACCTAACCCTAGACTTCACGACCTTGAAGGCAGCCCGATTAAGAAAATACACGTAAGATTAGTCCGCACTAACCCATCATGTTTGATAGTGGTCTATGTTACTCCTCTTTGACGAACAGCATGCAGTGACAATKCGTCGCATGTTTTTTGCTTGGGTTCACAAGACGGCATTATATACCACACTTATGCACGCACTTTCTTGAAGAAATGCGTGTAATTATTTCTGTGTTACCGAATCGAAACTTCACAATACATTGCGAGTCAGAAGAAAATCCGTCTATTCACCATGGCAACTGTATTCAATCTCACAATGCAAGAATAACGTCAGAGAAAAAAATCAAAGTAAAAAAAACCTACTAACAATGATCCAATAACTATTCGAAGAATATGAGGGCAAACCGCACCTGTTTCTAGTCTATGCCTTGTTTAAAGAACTCGTTTGTGTCTTGCTAAAAGACCTCGTCTATGCCTCTCCCTTATATCCWCTTTTTWATTTATTTCTTTTTTTAATTCGCATGCCAAWCAATCCAACCGAAAATTCAGATATTTGTGAAATGATGACCACATTWAAATTTAGAATTAGCTAAAGTGCTGATGTCTAAAATAMGTCTGGCGTTATTTATCTTATGAATTATCATTTGTTTTGTTRCTATTTGTTTGTTGTTACTGTTATCTTCGAGAACACTGCATAGAAATAACCCATTTTCGATATTCTTGCTTGGAGGTCGTAAAAAAAGAATTATCATTTCCTTCCCAAAAATCTCGAAAGTGGGCTATGGATCGTTTCACCGCTCAGCTGTCAAAAAAAAACCGTAGTAGGATAACTTAGGAAAATTACCTAACTAGTGCAGTAGTTTAAGCTTTTGTTGAGTAAACATACATGTTTCTAGATTATATTTAAATATGAACCGCACAGCAATTCATAAAAAAACTTTCACACTGCAACTGTGCTATCTAGCAATTTCATTAACTTATTTATATCCATATTTCCTGACATATATGTATTCCCCTGTACTAAGAAGTCTTCTTAAATAGGTTAGCCCTCGCTATAGTAACACTAATCTTGCCATCTCATTTTAGCAATGAGATTTTTGTATACACAAAATATCGAATGGTGTATTGGATTGAAATAAGAGATCATTAGTACAGACATCGATTATTTCTTTGATTCACAGACGTTTTGGATGATATGGCTTACTCGGTGTGCATGCGAACCGTAAACATTGACGCCCATCTGCCATCAAACGAACAATACGCACCGAATGAAGAAGAGTACCACCTACATCAAGTTGCCTTTAAAAATAACGAGGAAATCCAAAATAAACGAATGCCAATATTAACTGCTTTGCAAACTGACTTCGCATCCCTTATCTCTTATAATGTACAGCAATTTTGTTTACGCAATTGGGTGTATCACTGTTGTTATATACTATCATTGTAACGCAGTCTGTTTCTAGGTACTGATCAACATGGTCACACATCACACGAAACGAGTGCGAGTTTTACGCAAGTAATGTAAAAAAACAACAAGTTCTCGCATTAAAGAGCGCATTCGATCTCAAACTGTATTCAACCAGTAAACAAAAGCAACTCAACAAATTGAGAGATGATTCTACAWACTAATATTAAGAATACAAACACTCGCAAAAGTGAAAACAAAAACACAACCAATGAGATAAGTGGATTCATGGGAAGGACATTTACAATGTGAGCCCATTAAAGTATATTTACAACATATTTTGTTACCCTCAGTTAGAATACACACCGAAGAAGACCTAGTCAAATTTACTATAGGATTTGCATTGTCGTCCATGAGGTTTTTGTGCGATAAGTACGATTATGGACACGACCTTTCACGTCTGTGAATTCAAGAAATAATATTCGATGTCTAGATCTCTAATCTTAATCATCTAATACCTGACATGGCTACTCCTTCTGTTCACAAGGTGAATTGTAACTACGTCTTTACAGACAATATTAAGTCACGCATCTCCGCCTCATCAGATTGTAATAATTATAAATCGCGATGTCACGCAACTGTGATGTCACACATCTGGTGATAATAGACTCYGTTTTTCAAAACAAAACCTAAAGCGTCATAGTTCCTGTGATGTACCGTGACTTTTGTCCATATTCTCGTGTCTGTCTTTTTTTGTTGTTCTTTGGAATAAATTCATTTTCCTACTTTGTACAAAATATTCAGCTGACAGCATGTGCTGTTCWTAGTCTCTTTGCCAAACAGGASAATAATTGATAACGWTCTACTTGTTCCCAGTGTCCTCGCTTCCTCCTGATTGCCCAACAAGCTTTTTACTTCTATTCATTCGATCTAATTCGGCGGCGGCGTCGCTTCGTACAGACGGTACCCCCCTCCCCTGCGGAGTACCTGGTGATGCTGTTTTCTTGTTTAGTAAACTGTTAAAGAAATTTGCAAGAACACCTTCGTT